TCGGTAAATATTTGTTTTAAAATTGCTTAGACTTCGAGGTGGACTGTTTGGCAAAATTCCACGGTCTTACCCAGAAATAATAATACGCTAATCACTTTAGGCACGATTTTAATAATAATACATCCCTAAACTCGGGTGCGCATTTATGCGACCCAAATCCAAATCCCAAAACATTGAATAAAAATGCATTCCGGATCGCGGGTGCATTTCATGTGACGCAATCCAAAGACATGTTTTTAAATGATGTTCATATTCTTTTAAAAATATAATAATAAAAGCGGTAAAGAGTTAAAAATTTGCACATAAGCTCATAATTGTATAAAAATCAGATATTTAAGCCAAATATGACAGTTGAGCGACCGTGCTAGAACCACGGAACTCGGGAATGCCTAACACCTTCTCCCGGGTTAACAAAATTTCTTATCCGGATTTCTGATTCGCAGACCGTAATATAGAGTCATTTTTTTCCTCGATTCGGGATTAAAATTGGTGACTTGGGACACCCTAAATCTCCCAAGTGGCGACTCTGAAATAAATAAACAAATCCCGTTTCGATTGTCCTTTAATTGGAAAAACTCCCTTCCGCGCCCCTTCGCGGGCGGCGCGGGCGAAAAAGGAGGTGTGACAACTGTGACACCAGGTTTTAGGTATAAAAGGTTTTAAAAGATGTAATAGACGTAGCCTTAAGATATATAATTGTTAACTTCCGCTTATTTATTTAAAATTCCATTTTTATTATATTATCGGCTTGTGTTTGTTAAAAGAAGCAAAAAAATGAAAGTGTAGCAAGTAGTTAAGGTTGGCTTGCCTAGCTCCCATTGGTAGGCGTCATCACAACTTCCGAGGGTGGAAAATCCGGATCGTGACAAGCATGAACATATTTCTGATTTAGAAATTGTTATCCTTAACTAGGATTTACCCGTTATCATCTTATCTAATTAGTTTAACAAAATATTTTGTACTTTTTGGTCAAACAATAATGTTGGTGTGAGATGAAGTATGTGATTTCTCGAATAGTAGAACATCAGTCTACATATTTGAAATATGCTTTCATCTCTACTATTGTTTAAGCATCTTTATTACATTCAAGTTTCTTGTAATATATTATTACTATTTGTATAGTTTAAATATTTTTTATTTGATTGTCACTCTTCACATTGTAGTCTAAGTTCGTCGTTGTGTATCATTGAATAAGGTAAATTGCATTTTTTTTATCTAATTAGTCTCAGATTACGCGCATTGCGCGTGTATTCTATATCAATGAGTATATATTTTTTAAAATTACACATATATTATTAATCAATGTGTTTGAGTCATTAAATATAAACTAAAAATAGTAAAAGTTTCTGAAAATGATATATATCGACTCTTTTTAGGTGGCTAGCCATTTGAACTGGTATAACTATTAGTAATTATAGTTATAAAACATAGACAAAAATATAAACTAATAAGATCCTTAATTGATATGAGTTAGAACACCTTGCAAAAAAGAAATTTAGATATCGTATATATTTACAAAGCAAAAGACTTACAGTCTGAGAATCTAAATATCCTTAAATATTGAAGGACTGTCGCCTAGTATTACCGTCTTTTATAAGAGTTAGTTCTCACTTATTCTTTATGAACTTTGCCATTTAATTTTAGATTATTCTACTTTTTGCAAAAAAATATATATTACATAATAAAAATAAGAAAAGTTTTACACAAGGTATTTAATATGAGAATCTTTTATATATTCAGATAATGGAGAATTTAATGCATACAATGTAGTTGATTTAAACTTCTAAATATTAGAAAAAACGTTAAGCACAAGAAATCATATTCCAAATAAAATAAAATAAGTAGATCTAAGTTGTAATCCCCTGTTTTGTGAAATAAAGTATTGGAAAGAAATACTAATCTATCTATATCTATATCTATATCTATACTATATTAAAAGCACGAGGGCCCTTAGCGAAATATCGTTCGTCTTTTTTACCTTTTTAAAATAGATTTTGCACTAGACAAAATAGTAATTTAGTTCTTTTTCTAATAGTTAAGTGTTTGAAATAAACTAAAATATTAACTACTAAATATTTTCCTATTTTAACTTGTATGAGTCCTAATTTGCACATACATTGTATCTTTAATTCATAAAAGCTTTATTTTTAATTAATTAATACTTCTAAGTTTTATACAAGGAAATTGATTGATTTTTACGGAAGTCAAATCTCCTACTCCTAATAATTGTCTAACGAAGTAAAAACAAGTTATATAAAGAAAATATATTTCTACGAGACTCATTAATTAATTAATTAATACTTTTTCTAAGTTTTATACGAGAAAATTAATTGGTTTTTACGAATGATCCCATTATGCTACCTCATAATTATAATTACACAATATTAAAGAGGCACGTAAATATTATTAAATAATATATTTAAATTATCAAATAAAAATTTAAAATGTATAAGTCATTGAAAATAATAAATAATATATCTCGACTTTCATGAGTGACGATTGAAAAATTTATAATTATTCAAGTTCTTCACTTGTACGTTATTCAAGTAGGATTACATTTATAACCTGTGCCAATTAAAAGAAGGCAATAATTGAGTTTAGTTTATATAGATGTTAAGCCATCAAAATATACATGTCAAAAGAAAGGTCCTAGAATTTCCTCAATTTCTACTATGTACTTTTGATCATTTTTTAGCAAACAAAAAAATAAAATAAAAAAAGATTGCTATATTAAAAACTAAATGTTGTTGTAAGCAAATTCATGTGTATCAAATCAGTATTGCCATATCGCAGTTTGCACTTACTATGCAACAAATCGTACCAAAAACCATTCATGAACACGCATATACCCTAATAATATTTCATAGACATTTAAAAGTTAGAAGGAACTATGCTATTTAAGAAATGAGACTTAATTCACCTTGTGCATAGTGATATATGTATAATTAAAAACAAAGAGTACAATAATTTTTTATTTTTTTTAAAAAGACACAAGAAATTTGCTCCAAAAAGGGATGAATGTAAACAACTTGTGGGCATAAAAATTGTATCCAATTATGATATTTACATGCACAAGTTTTAATTTACTTAACACTAGAAACAAGTTCTTAATAGTCTAAACAACCTCATAATTTGGTACTTGGAGAAATAATTTTTTTTTCATTAAATAATTTTACTGAAAAGTCCTCCGTCATCTCAGTTTGAAATAATAAAGCACAAAATGTATCCTAATTGTATAGATTAACTTTTATCTTCCAATGAAGGCTTGATATATTCGAATCTATTTATCTATCTACATCTATCTATCTATACGATATTAAAAACACGAAGCTTCAATCGAAATATCATTCACCTTTTTCCCCTTTAAAACAAATTTCATATTACACAAAATAGTCATGTAACTAAAAAGTCCTAATATTTAGGACTCAAAAATTAATTAAGATCTTGATCGTAATAGGACTTTCAAATCAACCATAAATTTGTCGAGTATAAATTTTTGTAAATCACCGCCGCTACAGATATCATTATTTGTAATGGATTCTAATTGATAGTTCCTCTATGAAAACTTAAATAGAAACAAATTGTGGTTATTTGTTCTTACATGTGATTTTGCAACAATTGTCACTTGATAGCATACACTTTTTGGCTTTTGCGAAAACAATGTGCCATCAATGATAAACCGTAAGAGTCTCTCTTTCGTGTATTTATCACATGAATCTATATCTTGATTAAGTCAGTGGTTTTATATGAAAGTCATTTAGAGTCCGTTGGACATAAGAATTTTTTCAGTTTTTTTTCGAAATAAGTGTTTGGCCATAAAATTTTTAATTTTCACTTGAAAATGAATTTTGAAAATTTTCGAAAATTTGAAAAACTCCAAAACAGTTTTAGGTTGATTAGAATTCTCAAATTTTAGGGTTGTGTTTTAATTTCTCCTTTCTTTTTTTCCTTTTAATTTAATGTTGTAATTATTTTCGTTATATACTTATATGTCCATATATATTTTTTCCCAAAGTTATCGAACCTACAATAACCCGTAGAATGGATTCGTTAAGATAATGTAGTTTGGTTGTTTAGTGACTTTTTGATGACTCTACGAATTGGATGATCAAACTTTAAATTGAGTTAGACAAATTTAAAAAAGTCGGTTCCAGCCACATTACTCACATCCAAAATAGGCAGGCAAGCCTGTTTGACCAAGTTTTTGGAAAGTGAAAGGTAAATATTTCTTTTTAAATATACTTATTTTAGAGAGTTAAGGTGTTTAGAGGTGCTTTCGACAGTAGTAAAAGCTTAAAAAAAGTACATTTTCGGATAAGTATGGCCAAAGTGCTTCTAAGCATGAATTTATCCCTAGAATTTAACCTTGTTAGTACATTTGTATTTTTAGATAAAATATTTTTTTTCATTTAATTGATCGTTGTATCTATCTCTACATCAATTGCTATTACACATAATTTATTTTTATTCAATATTTCATATATTTTTTTATCAATAGCCGCAGAATGCACGTGCAACACACGTACACTAAAACTAGTAGTTTAAAAGATCTAAGAAATGTAAAGCACTATTTTTTTAACCAAAGGATCATAAAAATCTTTTAACTAAAGTGACAGACACATAGTTTACCTTGTCCTAACTCTTATGTATTGGTTCATGATAATCGAATCATGGAAAATTTTATTTTGTGTCTCATATAACTGACACTAGTTGTATGAGACAATTTTTTTGTCTTACCGTTTTGTGGACTCAGATTTCTGTGGATCCAGAAGTGTAAGATTGAAGTCTACAAATTTGTAAGACAAAAAGGAGTTTCATACAACGAGTGTAAGTTGTATGAGACACAAAATAAAACACGTCTCAATCAGAATTTCTTTGGTCCCTCCCGTCGCCCACTACGCGTCCACATCCACCTCCCTCTTCCGGAGAAGCTTTTTCTTTCTCGGTCAATTTATTATTATAAAAATATAAAGTCGTACAAAAAACGCTAATGTACGACATGGATTTCTCATGAAGCAGAAGTTGGTGGCCTGTTCTACACAATAAACAACACTAAATCGTTCCAAAAAATGCAAGTTTAATCTTTTGATTTCCTATTAATATAATTCATCCTTTCTGTTTTAGCGGTTCAGTTTCTGCCAGCCAATTATTCACAATATTCTTTGTTTATCGCATCACACTTTGCGTTTTCAGGTTTACTTTTCTCATTTCTTCCTTTTTCTGCATCTTTTGTCTTCTTCTGTTTCGTCCTTTCTGATCGTGCTTAATTATTATAAACTGCTTGCTTGTAGATTTTGATCAGTATTCGAAAAACGAAACAAAAAAACTATGTCGTCGAACATAATTCACGACGCCGATGGATCGCCTTCGCGAATCGTATTGTCGGAGCCTACTGGATCAACTGCTGAGGTTTTCGAAATTCTGTATTCCTTTTTCGTACTATTTGTGCTGGATAATTGTGATTAATTTTGCTTTATATTTAGCTAATGAAGGATTTTAAATGTTTTCTCCTATAATTACGACTATTTCTGCTGTATAATTGTGATTAAGTTCCCTTTTTTTTGGGTTTTTTTGTACATGCTTGTTTTAGTTCCTGAGGTGCACCCATTTTTACATTTTTAAAGTTTAATGAATGCTAGAAACTTTCCTTTAGTTTGATCATTCCTTGTTTATAGCCTGTTGGTGAATGAAGTGGAAGGAGAATCATAAGGTCTCAGAATCCCAAGAGTCAAGAAGTACTAGGTGATTTATTCCAATCTACCTAAACTTTGATTAGTAGAGTTAGTCCAATACTTGTGCTGGCGGGAGTAGCAGGTAGCCGGTGGAATAGTCGAGCTGACCTGAACACCACCTTAATCAAAAAATTATTGATCATACTTGTGGATTATATTAGGTTTAATATCTCGAGATTTACTTTAGTTGAAGCCTGTTGGTGAAAGTGTTTTGGTTTCTCCATAAATCAATAATCCTAAATCTCATCTTCATCTAAGTGAATTATGTATTTCAACTTAGCATTTGTAGTTCGTTAATTAATTTGTTTTTGGTATTTGGAATGCTTGCCTTTCAAAAGTAAAATATCAGCTCATTGATGAATCATGGCTTTATTATTCCTATCTCGAACGTTTTCCAGAAGTTCTCGAAACCACATAGTTTGGATCGGGAGCAACCTGTCGATTGAGAATATTAAATGAAACAATTAATATAAGAGATGGACTCTTTTTGTTGAAGCTAGTCTGTACAAGCGCAGTGTGTTGCTCATGAGAAGTTGAAATAGTTAATGGAAGATAACAAATCAGAAAGGAAATTTTTTACGCAGCTTTTCTTTTCCTTTTTTCCTATTTAATTCATTTTTATCTCAATGACTGTTTCGGCCTCTAAGCTTTCACTTCCTGTTGATCTTTTTGTTGAAGTTTGGCAAAATGCCAAAGTCCCACATTGGTTGGGAGTTAAGTTTGGAGGGGATNTTTCGTCGTCTTGCTAATGGTTTAGTCTTTCTTATATATGATCTTGCCTTGAAGTTTAGTCTTTAGAGAGTAGCTGTTTTGTAGTCAAACTACGTAGCTCAATGCTTTTGGGAAAACAAACGAGATGGTGATATCCTAGGCTCCCCATTGTACCAATGAAAAGCTCTCCGCTGTCCATTTAACTTAGAGATGATGTACTGTCTTTTTAAATTGGTAAACAGAGGATCCTGTATTAACCCCTGAACGGAAAGATCCAAATGCATGAAGTAAATGTTGTAGCACTACAATGATGATGAGCTTTATGGGTTGGAGATATCTTTTCCTTCATTTCACTTAATTCTAGTACATATTCTCTGCTGCAGGTGCTTTTTCATGGTGGACAGGTTGTTTCTTGGAAGAATGAACGAAGAGAAGAACTGCTTTTCAGGATTAATAAGGTCTAAAATGACCTTCCTTTATATTCTTATGTAACCGACTCTGTTTTCTGCTACTGTTTGGATAGCAATATGTTGCATGACATGCATGCAGGCACAAAGCTTTTGCGACTTAATGTTATCAACTTTAACGTGTCAATGCAACGGTTCCATTCATAATCCTGTTCATCCTGCATCTTTGTGAACATGAAGTGGATATTTGCCTCATCTGGAAGTTCACAGTTTTGGACATTTACATTAAAAAAAAAGGATTTGCATCTTCAGCTGGATCCTCTTCAGTCTTGACTCGATAGTTGAAGATATGGGGCACCAAATTTGAATTAAGATCAATTTATGAATCAAAAAATTAAAAACCCCCAAAGGTTTGGAATTAGGATCACAATATAAATTGTAGTTTAAAAAACAAAGTTGAAAAGTACTTTCTCCTTCGAGAAATCTCTGAAAAGGCACAAGATGACGCCATTGTTCTTTTCCAGCCTTAGCATCTTATAGGTGCTTACATTTAGTAAAAGATTGAATTGCTTTTGTTACTTGTGTCTTCACTTGGTCTACCATACTTCTGGAACCAACTAATTACACTGGCCTCTCCAGCATTGTTCAGTACGATGACCAATATTTGATTAGTTCCTATATCATGAGATTCACTTTTACACATATCAAGTAGGACTCACATCTAACGGGCTACAAGTGTTATGAGAGGGCTTTTCCTTTATGCAATTTTGCGACATCTTCTACTAGGATTCGCAGGTTAGAAGGGCTGATCAGTGTTTTATCTATGATGTGCATCACTGAGCAGGTGGCCAATGTCTGAAGATAAAATATGTCTAGCTCCTGTGTAAACGTTACCTTATCAAAAAAAAATAAAATTCTAGCTCTTCTCTACAGTCCATAAAATTTTATCCTCTTATGAGTCGTTGCGGAGTGTAATGCTATTCAATTGCCTAGATAATTCAAATCTCTCAAGGAATGTCGAGTTTAATTCAAAATCAGCAATGCATGGAACGTTGAGTATAGTTCATTTTGCTCGTGTAACATAAATGTGATTGTGGTGTAAGGAAACTTCTTCAGTTTTCAAATATGTAAAATTTCCTAGATACCTCACATAACTTGATCTGCTTGTATGGTTAATGATACACCTCACACTCAGGATATTGACTTTAGGACATTGTTCAATCATCTACATTGGCTGCTAGATACATCTGTAGCACTTTTGTCTTATTATTGTCCTGACTATGGGTTCTTGTACTGTCTTACAGACCCTGTGGAAACCTCCTAAAGCCATCAGAGGCGGAATACCTATCAGCTTTCCACAGGTTGGCCCACTAACTGAACTAGCAATTTTGGGGTTCTTCCTTGTTTAGTTTTGCATGTTAACTATAAATGTGTACTGTAGTTTGGAAGTTTTGGTTCTTTAGAGCGACATGGTTTTGCAAGAAACAGAGTGTGGTCCTTGGATGATTCTCCTTCTCCTCTACCTGCAGCAAACAGTCAGTCAACTGTGGATCTCATCTTAAAATCCACAGAGGAGGATCTGAAAATTTGGCCACATAGGTGGGGAGTATACATGGTTTTGCACTTCTATTAGCCTATAGTAATACACACATTCCCAATTCAACAATTTTATCTAGATCTACAAAGGTAAACCCTGTTCTTGTTTGGCAGGTTTGAGGTGCGGCTACGTGTCTCTCTCGCTGCTGGCAAGCTGACTTTGATCCCTCGTGTGAGAAATATAGATAACAAGCCATTCTCATTCACGATCTCTCTGCGTAACTATTTATCTGTTTCTGATATCAGGTTTGCCTTGTTGGTTCACTATCTTTTTTTTCTTTTGAGATGTGGTTTGCTAGTTATTTTTCCGCTAAGTAGTGCTAACACGTTGGAATTTGTAATAGCTATTATTGTCCCCCTTTTAGGGTTTCTTGCAATTAATTCAGACCTATAATTTAATGTATATTGCTCATTCAATCATGAGCTTTCTCTTATTTTTCTCTTTATAGCTGAAATTTGCTAGATACGTAATTATCCTTTTCAGATAGGTTGCATGATGCAGTTTGATTTGCAGTGAAGTGCGTGTGGAGGGCTTGGAGACGCTTGACTACTTCGATAATTTGCAGCAGAGAGAAAGATACACAGAGCAGGCAGATGCAATTACCTTTGATAGTGAGGTAACATTACTATGTTAGGCTGTTCTCCGTATTTAATAGAGGATAGACACCTTCATTTGAACTCAGGACCACTAGGTGCCAGAGGATCTTCTCTTCCATCAATTCAGTATGCTTGTTTTTTTGAATTTTTCATAATTCATCGAAAAGAGAATTACTTGATTTCTCCTTATTATTATGTTGATCTAGACCTTTTCTTTTTGTTAGATTGACAGGGTATATCTGAGCACACCAAAGAAAATTGCGATAATAGACCATGAGAAGAAGAGAACCTATGTCATTCAGAAAGAAGGCATGCTAGATGCTGGTATATTTTTACCGTTTTTTTTCTTTTGATCTGGATCTATTTTGTTCCCAATCTGCATTGAATATTTTGAAGTACAATTTGGATGTGATATGCAGTTGTTTGGAATCCTTGGGACAAAAAAGCCAAGTCTCTCCCTGATTTAGGTGATGAAGATTACAAAAAAATGCTATGCGTGGATTCAGCTGCTGTTGAAACTCCGATTGTCTTAAAGCCCTCTGAGGAGTGGAAGGGGCGGCAAGAGCTCTCTACTGTATCTTCAAGTTACTGCAGTGGGCAATTGGACCCTAGGAAAGTTCTTTATGGCCTTGCCTGATCTCATCCATGGTGTGATTAAGGTGCTATTTCTACGAGTCTGTTTTTTGTATACTACGCGCACTGTTTTACTATTCCACAAACTCCTATTCATGTTTGGTTTGTCAGTTTCTGGAGTGTTAAATCTAACATTACTGTATCTATTCTATAAGCACATAATTTTAGCTGCAGGTGGTTCACTGAGCTTTCTCTGTTTCTTTTTTCATACTGTGAGATATCTTGTATGTTTTCAGTTTTTCATAGCATAAACTTTCCTGAGCCAAGAAATTCCTTCTTGGCGTTGCAAAAGTTCGATGGATGAATAATTTGAACAACAGAATATAACATCTAAATGTAAATACACAGTGCACGCTTACATAACGTACGAGTTGAGAGACGTAACATGGGTTTTGTTTTTTTTTTGGGGAGGGGGGGGGGGGG